ATGAAAGATGGCATGAACTCTGCAAATAGGTAAAATTATGAACTTTTTCTATGCTTTAAATCCTTCATTTCCATTCTTTCTTTCTTTTTTCTTTTATTTTATCCTGCAACCAACTGCTATTTCAAAATCATTACAAATTATCTATCATATCTTAATTTTCAGTTTGTTAGATATTTTAGTTTGGTGATAAGGTATTTTTACCAAATCAAATACCAATCAAGATTGAGTTAGACGTTTCTAATTTCGTGCTTTGTAGATCCCTGACATCCTTTAATTTTCCGATAGATATTTTCAACAACACTTTATGGACGACTTACGCCAGGCAGCGATAGAAACTTTGCTAGGAAATTCAATCGACGTTGATCAACTGAATAACGATTGGTCACATTATTTAGACATCCTTGATAACTGCTGCCTTGAACTTATTCCTACAAAACCACCAAATATAGAGCTTCAACTTGCTACACATCCTGAATTTCTTTATGCCACTGCTATGTGTAATTTAGCAAGGTTCGTTTTCTGTTGTCAAAACGAAAAATTTGTGAAACGTGTATATGAGAAATAATTTCATAACACTACAATTTATATTTCATGTTTAACTGAATTTTATGAATGATTGTAGTATGCTAAACATATTTTCATCACAGATGATGAATCTTACACCGCATGAAAATTAGTGATTGATCTTACATTTTTAGCAATTAGATCTGGCAGTTATTATTAATAAACAATGCATCTGTTTTTAAACATAAAAACACAAAATCTATCTAATCCTGTGACAATAATTCTTATCATAAATTATATATATAAGTATTATTGTAATGATTATTTATATTTAATTTTTTTTTTTAATTATACTATGATTTCAGATATTATCTTAATCGCTTCAAAGATGTCTATAGACAAGCTACAATTGATATGATGTTAGGAAATTCAGTAAGTGAAGAAGTATTTCAAGAACGTACAGAAGAAGAAGATAATGCTGCAACAGCAATTCATGTGAAATTATTGATTGAAGATTGTAAAAAATTATTGATACCTGATCCTGAAGTTATTCTTGGGAGTTGGGGACTTATTGATGCTGATCCTATGTATGTATATTCATTTATTAATAGTTTGTTAAAAAAATTATGTACTCTCTGAGATGCTAACATTTTCTTTTTTGATTTCTTTTAGAACTGGGGATCCTACTGAAACTGAAATGGATACTATTCTTATATTAACTCGAGATAGCTATTATGTGGCAGATTATGATGACCAAATTGATAAAGTTACGAATTATCAAAGAGTTCCGCTATCTGATGTAATTCTTATTGAATTTGGCCAACCAGAAAGTACAGTTTCTATTTTTAAGAATAAACATTACCATTGTATTAGAATTAGCTATAAAATGGGTACAGAGTATGGTTACTTTCACATGTTTCGCAGTACAAATTTAAGGTTTTTTAACAACATGGCTGTTGTAATAAAAACTGCTGAAGAAAGCATAGGTAAATAATTTACATTTTAATATATTTTAATAATAAAAAATAATATATAATAATTTTGAAAACAAACAGAAATATTGATATTGCAGAATCCTTAAAAGCAATTTGTGAAGCTATCTCAGTAGCAATGGAAATAGCTGGTTTACCAAAAGTACCTCTGGCAATGAACATAACATTAGATAAACGGAAGAGTAAATTAGTTAATGTTAAAGGTTCTACAGGACTTTTAGATATTTCCTCTCTTCCTGAGTTAACCAGAAATGTTTCTGAAACGCAATTATTAGCTCTTAAAAGTGCAGGTTTGTTTATTAATAGTAAAAATAATCATCTATAGACACAAATTTATAAATCATTATGATTTTGCAGGTACAAAGGCACTAAGTAATATGTCAGAACAATTTAGTAAACTTAATAAATTAAGTCACAGTTTTAGCACGAAAAAACCGATCGACTTAGCAAGAACGATAAAATCAAGAAAGTCTATTACATCTTTAAAACCAACTTTTACTGTTGGTGATAGAGATATCTCTGGAAATATTAGTAAAAAACGCAATGATACTAGTAGCAGTAGCGATGAAGATGAAAATATTGAAATGACTCACATTCATACAGAACAAACAAAGAACTTTTCTCATGATAAAAAATTAATGGAAGCTTATAGCCCGTCAATTGGAATTATAATGGGTATTAAAGATTCTGATATAGTAAATAATAGTGCTTCTGATAATTATTTAGCACAGGCAGATATAGATAAAGATAATGTATTGTCTTCTAATATTAAGAAATCTGAATTGTATCTAATGCCACAAAGTGAATCTGGTAGTTCTCTTAGTGCTTCACCACAGAAAACCACAGCAACGACACCAGAAATAACTATTCAGGATGTAGCAGACTTTTTAAGCGAAGAAAAAGATAGAATGATGCATCCAACATCATTAAGTCTTTCTAAAAATATAAGCCAGTCAACAGGAAAAGTGGACAGCAAAATAAATTTAAATAACTTAAAGAGTAGTACTTTGTTAATAGATAATAAGTTACAAGATAAAAAGAGATCAACATCTGAACAAGATTTGACATTAAATATTACCTCTTCGCAAAGTGAATCGGCCCTGAAATCGATAAAAAGTAGCATTACAGATGTCACAAGTCCAGTTGCAGCTACTGCCAAAGATATTCTATCACCTTTTTCAAAGTTCGCTAAAGGTGTGCAAACACTTGGAGCTAATTTAGATCCGAGGAAATTAAAATCAGGTCAAATGGGATTAACGAGAAATTTATCGGATCATCATCTAGAAGAACGTCAGAAACTTCAAGAAAAATGGGGTTCTTGCAAATCTACATTGATCGCTTTATAAATTATTGTGGCATAACTGTAAGTATATTATATTGAGCAACATGATAATAATAATGTAAATATAGTAACAGAAAAAAAGAAATTGAAATGGAGTGCGAATTAAAAAATTATAAACTTAGAGCTAGACAAAACAATTTATAAAAATTATGTTATCACCATGTTGCTAAAGCAAGTAATAAGAAAATTAAAAAAAGTATATTTTTTACTTTTATGAAAAATTGCCCTACCAAATTATGTGGTCAATATTTTATACATAATAACAACCTGAGTTTATTGTATAATAGAAATATTTATTATTTTCCAAAAAAGGAATTATGGGATTTTATGTTTTAGTTTGAACTCTACTCGAAATTCAATACTTAAATTTGAAATGCTTTTAGCATATTTATACAGAATTTATACTTAACATAGAATTTACTCTTATAAGATTACTGTTAGTACTGTGTTCAATCTTGCAACATTTAATTAGATTGTGAGATAAAAATATATATTATCCGAGTAGGTATACAGTAGAATTTTAATTTGGTTTATAATAAGTTTTAATACCCAACAATGAAAATTTCAAGTATGATTTCATTATATTTATAATTAACGATAAATCGTTGACTTTTAACAACCTTTTCGAAAAATACATTTTTTTTTTCTTTTTCTTCAGTAATATTCTTACTTTTACTGAATACGAATAATTAGGATTCTACTGTATTTGGAAAGTGAGATTTAAATAAGATTTTTTTTCCAACAGCTTCTTGTTGCATAATTAAATTTTTCCACAAAATTTAAGCACTGTTGCCTTGCTCGTTGACATTGATAGTTATATTCATTATAGTTATATTCATTAAAAGAGTGTTTTATTAATAAACGTTTTTGAGCGCAATTTAGGGGAAAAAAGTTTTTTTATACAGCAAGTTGGATAAAGAAGCTTTTTAGTCAATTATGTAAATATAGAAAATGACATGAGTCTAATATAGAAAAATTGCAAAATATTAATACAGATGACACACGGTAGTATATTAATTAATAATATTAGTAATAATAATATTGAATATATAATTGATGAAGCATCATAACATTATATGTGAGTTATATAGAATTATTGAAATATTTATTGACCATTTTGGATATTGATATATTCGTGACTTCTATTAAATATTATTTTTAGAAACTTACATAAAACTGTGCTCAGTTTTATTCTCAATATAATCGATTTTAGAATACGGAAAGATCTAATTAAGTTGATATAGTTAAATGGTGTGATTAGATATAGACATGCACGATTAAAGAGATTGATAAAAAATGCTTGCTTTTCAATGTAATTAAAAATTATCTTTTCTTTTTCTTTCTCAAAAATATCATCTATACATCTCGCAATCTTAGAAACTGCAGTATTGATTTAGTATTGCTGCTGTATTGCAGACAACATGACTTACAAAGATACTTTATAGTTTATAAATGTATTACATAACAAAGACAAGCATTAATTATAGTAAAATAAAGCAAATACCAGTTAGTATTTTATTAAAAAAAATAGATCGTATAAATTCATATCACTATGAGTTTTTAATTATTATAATCAATATAAGTTCACCTGAATAATTATGTACTTTGTAAATATTATTAGAGCAATTATTGACAGTTCTTATAAATTTTTCATACAAAAAAGTATTTAAGAATATAAATATACGTTGTCCTTTTGTATAACACTTGTTTTAGTCACGAACAATAGTCTGTGATACATTTTTGCAGATTGAATATAGTTTGTAAAGAAAATTGTAAATCTTATAAATCACGTAGTGATTTTTTAGATTAGAGTATTATGAGAACTGTTTTCTAATACTTCAGTGTATACAAAAACTATAATTGTATAAAAATACCAGAACCTTGATCCAATCCAAACAAAATTTACCTTTATTGGCTAAATTTTCGAATTGTATTTCTTCGACTATCGGATATGATAACTCAATCAAGCTTTATGTATGTGGATGCAACCAGTTCAAATTCAGTTATAATGTGTGTTATAAATATAATAGCCAATAGAGGCTTTGCCTTACATATGTATATTCAAGAAATATGTTCTCGAAAGATCACAAAAAAATAAAACTTACGCATATATGCCAAATAACGCAAAGTGACACTTGTAGATGTAACAATAAAAAACATCGTCAATATATCGTCTTTTTATTTCATTATTCTTTCTTTACATTATTAATTATATCAAAAAGTATTTTCCAAGTGCTTAATTATCAAGCTGACATAATAAAGCTAGACCTCTTTTAATCCAATGACTAACTTTCTTATTGGTATCGAGAAGTATAGATAATACATAATTAGTAGAGTGACCTGTGGTTTTCAATACTCCAAAACGCGCAGACGTAATATATAAGGGACATTCATATCGTCCTTTTATTATTACATTAACCATTTCGGATGGTTTGAACCATATTATTGGCATGGAGTCCCAAAGTATTTTCGGATAACTTTCAGCAAGTAACATAGTTTTCATGTCCCACCTAGCACCAGCTAAATACATACCGTAAACATATACCCCGTCTATCGGAGATTTATTTAATTCATACGATGGCATTACCTAACAATTAATTATTCTTAAGGTAAAAAATTCAAAAATTGAAGAAAAGATCCGCTTATATAATAACAAAGGAAGATATTACCTGAAAATCAAAATCGATTTTATCAATCGGTATTTTATATTTCCTTGCGAAATTTTGTGTCGCGCCCGTTAGAAATGCGTGCACGAATGAAAATCCGGATATCCAAAAAGTCTTTGGTTTTCCTTCTATCAACCAGTTTTTGAAAAATTCTAAACGTTTTAAGAAATCATCGATAAAACCGGATAATGATTTCAACGTTGGATAAGCACTTGCTCTAAGCCAAGATGGTGGAACTTTATCATTAATTATGTGTGTTCCTAAAACCTATAAGAAAAAAAGAAATTTTTAAGCGAGAATGATTAAGTTATAAATAATAGAAGAAAATCTTTTGAAACTATAATATACCTCCAAAGCGGAAGTCATGACTATGAGACCTTTTATAGCTCTTTCTAACATTATCAATGAATTTCTCATCTCAGCTAGAAGTATATTATATCTTTCCATTTCTTGTACCAATACTGTGTTCATTGATTCCATGTACATCGTTGGATACAAATTATGAGCCTCTTCGATGTCAAACAGACCTGGTAATTTACTATAGATATTTTCTTTCATGAGCAACAATAGTTCATCCTGTTTCATAGCGTCGCCCACTGCGACGGTTCCCTGAATCAACATCATCGAATCAAAGAAATTCTTTGAAAGTTCAAGGTCGCGAGTTATTCCTGCATTCATGTGCAATCCAAACACTTCCGGTGGTGTGATAATAGGAATCCCTTCTATTTGTTCGATATAATCTTGATAGTCATGTCTAGAGAAATTGTTTATATACTAATATTATAATATTAGTATTAAACTAATATTTAAATTTAAATTATACTAAAGAAAAATAATATTTAAACAACAGGATACAATTATCTTATCTTTACTTACTTTTTAGGTAATGTATATTCTGGACCAACATCGCTGAACGAATAATTTGGATTTGTAATTACATCAAGATTATAAAAGTCATCTAAAATAGTATTTAAACATCTTCGATCTCTATCATCTGTAACTCTTCCGCCATAGTTACATTCCCCCGTGAGATAAATGATTGCTTTAAATGGAACCTCTTCGTAATCTTCAATGTAAAATTGAAGCTGTTGCACTGATATTTGTAAGTCAGAATCATCAAAGCCTGCACGAAAATGTCATTATTTATCTTCTTTCGATATTGTCGATTAAATGTTTTTAATGTACCGTATTTAATATTCCAGCCTTGTGGTCCATAATTTCTACGTTCTTGAATCAATGCGTGAAAGAAACATAAAGCGTATAGCAATTTTGAGTAATTTTTTTTCTTGTGAGACATCGTGTGAAAAAAATCTGGTTCCTCGGCAGCTTCGGATAAATAACACCTAAAGATTAGAAATAAATTATTAATTTCGTTGTATTTCTCATTTTTTGAAAGTAACTTACTTCATAATATTTTGTTGAAGACCCGTAGGAGGTTCGTTCGTTATTTTCATACCATTTTGCAAAACCGTTATGGGAAATTTATCAGAAGGATAACTTGTCAACCAAAGACGAAATTTGACGTGAGTATTCATCAGATTGAAATTCTCGCAAATTTTTTCAAGAACAGGCATCCAAGATACAGCTAAATGACAGTTTTGTAAACAAACCCAAGAACCTTCGATTTGAGCATCGGAAATAAGTTTTTGAGCTATAGGGCCCTGACCTTGACCTAATGAAATAGTAGCGAATTTCGATAGATAATTCATACTATCAGCAAATTTGGTCAAAGCTCCCATTGGATCGGAACCTGGCGATAGAATAAAAATCAGTGGAATTGTACAACTTGAATCCATGTAAGACTTGGAGATATCAAATGGTGGTGGTATTATAAATTTATTTCCCATTCCATTCTTAACAAATTCGCGTATCTGATGGAAAAAGGATTTAATTATTATTTATATGTATGATTCTAGTCAAGAAGAAAAAATCTTTTTAAATATATAAATATTATACACTCACTGCAATTATAATTTTGTCAGGTCTGATCATTCTCATAACAATCAACTTTTGAAATGGAGTCAATGTACTTTCCCATGGTTCTGGTAAAGATGCTCTTTCAGGATTTAATAGATCGTAATATGTTTTCCATTTCATTAAATTTTTGCTAAAACTTTCTGAAAATTTTTCGAAACTTGACAATGTGTTTACTCTATCAATTTCATTCCATGATTTATCTGGAAGCCAATCGGGCGCTGGATTTTTTGTAAGTGTTTTCAATGCCATTCCACCAGATAAGAAGAATAAAAACTCATTTTTATCTATTTGATTACTTGCCAATAGAATCGTTGAATACAATATAAACGAATACAATATCTGATAAAAATTATCGAATATTTTTATATTATAGTGTATATGATATAGTATATGTATTATAAGAGAGTACAATATTTCTATTAACCTTGTCCTTCTCGAACAATGATCGGCAGACATTTTGATAAAGATAATATGTGAACGTATTTCTCAAAAATTCAAGTCTACGTTCTAAGATTTTACTTTTGCTTGCTAAGTCGATAGAAACAATGTAAAGATTAATAAACCATTGCAATGAAAATTCGTACATAGGATCTATGTTTGGTAAATCCGTGATGGTATAATATAGAGCTGAACTATATTTTGCAATAGGTTGATAACTTTGACGAAAAACTTCGATCGTTTTTTCTGTTTTTCTTGCGACTTGCTGTTTCTTTATTATATCGGTTGAAAGAATTTTAGATGAGTCCAAAATTTCTATAGCTTCTTCATCCTCCAAAATTCCAGCTCCAGCTACAGACAAAGTTTTCAAAATATTATCCTCAACCTGTTTCAAGGCTTTCTTATTTGCAGCACTTTCAACTATCAAAAATTCTCGCTTCTCTTGCAAGTCAGGTCTTTCAATAGCTACAACGATTTCTAATAATTGATCTTCCAAACCTTCTATAGTCAGAGCAAAATTAATTAAAGTGATTTTATTAAAAACGTCCGGAAGATAATGCGGATTTCGTAATTTTGTTGTGATGTATAATCTAAAACGTAAATCATATTCAATAACAGTTTCTCCTAAAGTAATATGCCATATTCCCGCGACTTTATATATATTTCTCATGAGAATCGGATCAAGCGGTGCTGGGAGATCCTCCAAAATATTTTCAATCAAAACTGGCTTTCCTATGAACACGATATTATTTTTATAAACCGATATAAATAAAAAAATTTGAAACGACATTAATAAAATCTTACCATACTCTATAGCTTGTTCAATGATGTTCATATAATTTTTATCTGTTACTTTGACGATCTCTAATTCGCTCCGTTTTTCCATATGACGAATCCATTTGTTTGCTTGACTCTGCGGATCTATGAACAAACTCCATCTCTTCGAATTATCCATGATGATTGCATTTTCAATAGAAAATGAATCCCGTGGTAAACCGAATATATTCCAGGAATTAATTTTTATCTCAGTTCCTAATATTTTTACGAAATTGTAATCTTCCGAGCAGGGTATATTCAAACTTTTTACAAAAGTCATCCATTTATTGATATTCTCCATACGATAACTCGCGGTAAATGGACCAAGGTAAGCAATCACTCCGCAAGAAATTAAAATATCACCTGGGAGTGTGTCGTAAGATTTTTGTAAAGTATCTGCTGCAGCTAACCAACGATCTTTCTCTCCTCCTAAACCATCGATCAGTTTTTCAGCACGAATAAGTTTATTTCTGCAATTGGTAACCTGAAGGGGTGAATTACTATGAATTATTGTATTAATTACGTGAACATTAACAAATTACTTCGCTCTCTAATTCGAGTTTCTTCGCGAGCGTAATTTGCAATCTTTCGTTGAGATGAGCAAGTTTCTCGGTCAAAGAAGCAAGCATTTGACGTCTTTCGTTCAAAAACGCCATGGTTTCTTCGTATTCTGTTTGTGCAGCTGCCAATTTCGCTTTTTTCGGTGCAACCTCTTTGATCACTTTATCATACAATACCATTGCACGAACCCACTTGCACAGACCCTCAGCAGCCGATGATGCTCTTGCTACAATCTTCGGTTCGAAATTTTTATTCGTCATATATGTCTTCTTGATCTCCTGTTAACACAACAATAATGTATTATCGACTTTGAACATTTTTTATCTCTTAACATCTTACATCGATTATGTGAGTAGGGATGTTATCCTTGTCATATTGACGTAAAGTGTCCAAAAATTTCATATCACCTAATAAACGTTTGCTAGGTGTCCAATAATCGAAAACCTTACGACCAGTACCTGGATCTTCGATTTTAATAGGTGGTATGCTCATCATAACACAAACTGCAGCCATTACTAATTTCACTCCTTCTGGAGGACTTTTCATGGTTTTCACAACAGAGATATCAGCAGGTTTGAGAGTATTCAAAGCAGCTGTATTCGATAAAACAAAGTATTTTCATCGGTAAATGGAAATGATAATTATGATGAATAATAATGATGATTACACTATAAATGAATATAAAAATTGAATATAACACCTATCGCCTCGTCCAAAGCAGGAAGGGCTTCGGCCAAATCAGCTTCACACTCCATCTTCAAGTTCTCTGCAATTGTAGCTTGAACATTAGCTGCATTTTCGTCTCTCTTCACCATAATCGTTGCTTTCTCGACGCTTACATTTTCCTTTTCTATTTGCCTCATAGTATCCGTGGTCTCTTTCGCGGATAACTCGAGTTGCGGCCTTAATTCCGAAAGAACCACTCTCATATGTTGAATCTGTATAGCAGCGAATTCTAGCTTGTCCAAACCATTAAGATATCGATCCCTGTTGTGAAAAATGAATATCAAACATATGTGATTTTATAAAAAAAAAAAAATATATCATCGATACCTTGCTAAAGTCAGTTCCTCTTGTTTCTCGCTTATCAATTCCACATAAGTACGCATCAGATCGAGAAAACTTGCGGTAGTGATATATGTTATTCTACCAAATAATTGATAGAAATGAGTACTGATATCCTTCGCACAGCTATGAAAATATTTGGAAGCAACAACGGCATTAACTTTAATATTCTCATCGACGTTGATACTTGCTATGTTGTAAAGTGCTATTTGTTCAAGTGCTTCCTCAGGCCATACCTCAAACCAATCGATGGTGCAACAATTGACTAGACTCGGATAAAGTCTTAGTCTTATTCTAAAGGTATCACCGATTGGACTGAAGCATAACATTATATGTAGCATTTCTTTGCAACGATTAATGAAAAATGATAATACAGAAAGCACGGATATATCCAAATTACGATTACCACCTTGAGCAGCCAATCGACACATTTCAATGATCTCTTGTCTTTCTTCAATTGTGAAAAGATTTGGTACTTCTCCAATATTAAGGAGACTATCGATATCAGCAAGGAAAGCTTCTTCCTTAATCTGTCCTTCGGTAAATAGAAATACAAAATCTTTACCAGCTCCACCGGAATTTTTTAATACCTTCTTTATGTCCTCTCTCCATTCGTTTAAGTTATATGCACTACCAATCTCAGGTTGAAAAAGTCCATGACCAACCATACTAGATGCTAATCTTGTTAAAGATTGTCTTCCAGAACCGCTTACACCAACCATTAGTAAACTGCTGTTAGAAATAGAAAGTACACGACAAATTCTTGCCAAGTGTTCCAAAGCATAACGGAACATCACAATATCGATCTTCTTTCGATGAGTATTATTGTATTCTTGAAGATAAGCCAGGGCTGTTTCTCTATATTCTGTTATCGAGATTATCTCCTCGTAGAGACGATCTTCCGCTAGTGCTTCCATGTTCATAAAATTACCATAGATCAAACTTTGAAAACTCTCTTTCGTTAAATTGTCGTTGAATTTTGGCAGATGATCGAATATCGTTTCGAATGATTCCTTTAATACCTTCTGCGTGGTTTCTTTAATCGTAAGAAAAAGCCAATTATGATCATTTGGTTCTATCAAACGATCACCGAATACTCTTAAGATTTCGTGGGCCCATAATTTGGTAAATTCAGCCTTGCTTTCGGCACTTTCTTTTTTTATCAAGGTAAAGCCTAATATTACCCGAGTAATATCACGGAGATTAAACGAATAATGTGGTTTTGCTGGTGTTGGTCTAAATTCGTTACTAACTGCTTTATATATAGCTATAGTAGCGTTCACAATTTCGTTCACGATTGGAATGACTGATGTTGTGTAGCCATTTCGTTTGAGCCCGACAAAGGCGATATTCGTGAAAATCCGGAAAACACTTTCCATCGAGAATTCATTGATGGAATATAGATTGAAGTGCCGTAGAAATCTTTGATAAATCTCTTGCCTACTTCCACCAGGTGGTGCCATCGCACAAATAAACATCGTATCGAGAATCGTAATTTTCTCTGGTCTCTTTAGATCGTACCAACTCCCATGATCGAAAAATTGCCGGAGTAATTCGATTGCTGATTGAGAGCCATAAGTCTCTTTGGCAGGCATGTTGACTTCGTCGATGAATACTATACACTGTGTACCTGGTAATGGACCTAATTGATTTTTCTGTCTTTTATATAACTTTGCTAATACCAATTCTTGAGTAGTCCAAGCTGTTGTAGTCGGTGTAAAAATAATAAAATTAGGTAAATATTCCGATTCTTCCAACTTGTTCATCAGCATGTCCTTTATGTAGAAACTTTTACCTGTACCAGTGTCTCCCTGTATTAAAAATCGTTTTCGTTGTTTGATATGCATTAAGAATAATAGCTGATATTTAACCGTATCGATAGTGGGTATCATTATATTGCTAATACTTTGGTTCTCATTATATTGTTCTGACGTAGATAAATCGACAAGACGTTTCCATGCTCCTTTACCTTTGAACGTATAAAAATGATCATGAATGAGTTCGTCTCCTGGTATGGAGATTAATAAATCCTTTATACTCTCGGGAATGGGATATTCTGTGTTTTCATCTTTCCAAAATGTTAAATAAAATGCATTGAATTTGAATCGAGAGTCAAGATCCAAAGTACCACCTGCTCCCCAAACCATCCCTAATAGCATTGCAGCTTGTAGCCATGATGTAATATATGTATCAAAAGTTTTCGGGTTATCCTCCACAGCAGTTTCTATAAACATCTCTACGAGATTCATGGTCGACACTAGCTGATGGATTTGGCTCACGTTCAGATGCATATGACACATCTTACGAATGAACTCCAAGCAAGGATGCATCAACCATTCAAAAAGCTCATTTATTAAATCTTCATAATCTTCTTTCCATTGTGGATTTAAATATGCTATCCAAGAATCGATAAACGGTTGCAAACCAAGTACACGAGGTTCTATATAGATCATTCCACAACGCGATACTGTAGCAGGGGACGCATGGACCAAATCCATAACTTCGAATATCATCGACATCACGTTTGTCATTTGCATTACTTCGCCAGATGTCAAGCACAGTTTTTTATTATCATCCAGCACAGTATTGAGATTCTCGATCCAAAGTGCATCGACAGGGCCATCAAATATAATCCATTTTCTATCATCAGTTTCTTCCATACAATATGCTCGGAATGCAACTGCACATACACCGTCTGACCACTCAGAGGACACTGGATCGAAGTGTCCATATAATTGGTCCAACGTTATTGATTTAGGGTTGATCGTGAAGTATTTCGTCACGGCACCATTCTCGTCGTTCCATTCATGCATTAAAGTTAAAACATCAGCTAAGGTATGAAGAACAGATGTCTTTCCACCAAAAGGTTCACCAACCAGCATAAAACCATGTCGAACAATCATCATCTCAAACGTTTGTATGATCTTCAATAGGAAACTGTCAACTGCTTGTAAATTTCTCTTCTTGGCGACTTCACGAACTGCTTTCAGTAATACATCATAACTTGGAGTTGGCAAAGTCAATCCTGGAAAGAGATCAGATACTATTCCTTGAAACAATGGTACATCGTGAGCCAAGAATTTTGGTAGATTGACATCGATGATAGAACGAAGAAGAAGTATTGCTTCATCCTCATTGGGAAATTTCAATTTGATATTTTGTGCCGCTGTTAGAACAGTTTTCACGGCACGCATACCATAATCATAATGAGACTGAGACGAGAGTTGTTCTGAACACAATTTATAAGTTGCTACGATCTTTGTTGATAGTGAACGAGCGGTATTGAAGCCTGATGAATAAAGAAAGATCTCGCCGATCATCGCATAATCCGGTACCATCATCGCCACGGTTCTAAAGAGAACTTTTAAATTATCTGGTAATTCAGAACGACCAGCGTATCCAGGGTTCATCGTGATGCAAATATAAACCGCAGGATTTAACCGCAATTCTGTTCCCTCGAAAACGAATGTCTCTAAATTCGCATGTATCGCTTGAGTTATAGAAAGAATTTGTTGTGCTACCACTGATAAAACTTCCAATTCGATTCGATTGAATTCATCAAAGCACGACCAAGCGCCACAGGAAGCTAAACCTTTGAAAAATTTTCCCATATTTTTGTAATCGAGACCCTCAGAACAATTAAAAACGATACATTGTACAGCGATAGCTCTGCTAAGGTCCTTTGTTGTTTCAGTTTTTCCAGTACCTGCAGGACCCTCGGCTGCTCCATTTAAGTGCAAAGTATATGCACCTACCAAAGTACGATAACATCTGTCGAAACAATATCATAGCTTTAAGAATGATATTACTAAACAATACATTAAATAAATACGCTAAACAAATTTATTATAATTTACCTGTCAGTCAATGGTGTAATCACAAGACGTGATGTATTTCCAAGATACTCATAAGCATACGCTATAGTCGCATGTATGATTCTAACAAATACATCATTTTCCCAATAATAACGAAGCTGAGCTAACCATTCGAAGTCTTTCTCATCTGTAATACGCTTATCGATGAGCATTTTTACTATATCCATAGCATGAACATCGATTGTAATAAGAGCGTTCAACGTGATACGATTTTGTTTCGTCAGATGACCTGAGATTGTTTGTTATATAAAAATTATATCTAAACGAGGTGTAAATGAATTTTTCGAGAATTTCATCAGTACCTTTTACCAGATTAACCATGTCAAAAATTTGTAATTGTAATTTTTTCCACAGTGCTTCCAAAGTCGATAGTATATGTGTCAATAAACTCGATTGAACTTCCATAGACCAATAGATTTGAGCGACACAAAGTACAACCATGCCAGGCCAAATTTGAACCCATACTACCCGTTCGTTTGTATCATAATCCAAATAACTCATAAGCGTTTCATGTCTTACCGATTTCAACATGTATTCTTCTACCTATTAATTATTAATATGATTTAAAATATTTCGAATCTAATTAAATTATTTTATTTTTAATGTTGAAATATTTTGACAAAGATATAGATACTTGGATCAACCATTTTTCTACACAACCATGTGCAGCTTCTGTTGAGATACGACCTTGCAACATTATCTCTTCCTTTTGATCACTGATTATAGAATAGATCTCCAAGGACTCATTAAATCTATGAGATAATGATTACCGATCAAAATGAAAAAAATATAATGATAAAACCCAGAATTGATGACAAAAAATTATGTAAACAAAAACTCACCCAAGCTTGTTAATTCCTTCGAAACATTTTTTCAAATGAGGTTGTACGCGAAGTGGGTCCTTTGTCTCGGATAGAATTTCAAGCATATCGTCGTTACTCAAAAAGAAGAAACGTGGAAAGAAAAGCCTTTTCTTTTCCAGGTAATTGTATATACCTTCGTTAACTGTTTCCATCATAATGTTAGCTTCTCTCATAGCTTCTAATAAGCCGACCTAATAGCGATATAGAATACAATGCATATTTAAATACTATAGACAAACTTTTACATGATTTAAGTAGATAATTCAAAAATAAACCGGTAATTATGAAAATGATCTAAGTTGCAGCAATGCACTTAATTTAGTGCTTATTTGACTGCGGTTGCAGTTAAAATTACAAAAAAAAGAATTATTTTTTATAAATAAAAACACTTACTTTCTTTGTTTGTCACTATAGGAGAATAATTTTTAAATAATTCAAAACTAAATGTCTCAAAATATTTCAGAACAAAAAATATATGACTTAAATCACTTTCATAAAAAAACCGGCTCAAAACATAGACAATCTAGGAATGCATATAAACACAACTCAACATATTAGATTAATTAAGAATATATTAGGTTGTCCGGTAAGTTTGTATCGATTTGTGGTAGGTAACGTAATGACAAAATCGGCACGAACTTTCCGGACAACATAATACTTACACTACCAGCAGTTTCTTTAACTCGGCGATCTCTTTTAACTGCTTGCATAGCATTCCGAAAAATTCCATCGACTTGAACAAATAGTACATTTTCTTCAGGCAATTGTGCTATAATGTCTTTGCTTGAAAATATCGGTAGCAAGTACATCCATTGTACTTGCACCTACAATTGTTTACAATATTAAAAATGCATAGCTTCAAAAATTTAAAATAAGTAATTAACAAACCTTAACCCATTGTTCGATGGTATTTTGTATACGAAGTAATTTCTGATAAAAATCGTCCACCTTTTTTCTAATCTGCTTTACAAATGCCGAGCCACGCATCGTTTGTATTTTAACAATGTGTTCTTCTAAAAGTGTTTGTATGTCATCTAAACGAGTTAATATATCAACACCAGAATCTTTAAATAATGTTGTCTCGAATAAAACGTCGTCCCACTCTTTCTCTATTTTATAAAAGGCTTGCTCGAGACTCAGTTCTTTCGATGCACTAACGCTTATTAACTCATATCTTTATTAAATAAAATAAATTTGTAAGTTTAAATATTTATCAATAATACCGATCGATAGTTATTACTTGTCTAGATCTTCTAACAGATCCATGGCTATCATTTTTCGAAGAGTTGTTCCAGCATTGGGTGTAAGATCAAAACCTGCAATGAGTGACATTTCGTCCCAATGATGTTGTCGTAAAGCAGGATTACAGAAAACTGTTACAAGTGGAACGTATACCTAAAAATATTATTTATTACATTTATAAACCTTAATGATCTTTGAGATAATAATACTAATTTCCTTTTTTTTTATTTACTTTGAACGATTGAATATCTTCTAGAATCTGATACGAAAGCTTTAAAGGTACCGGTTGTTGGAAAGGATCTGGATCATCAATCAAACCTGTAAAACTGATAAACCAATCAAATATAAAACAAATATGGAGATAGCATCTAGCTTAAATTAAAAAAAAAAAAGAAAAATATAAAAATAAACCTATAAGGATAATTTGTCGCCAGTTGCATCTTGATTTTAGTTCTGTATTGTTTGCTCATTTTGCTGAAGTTAGCATATAACTCGTTACACTTAGTATCGACTTCATATCCATCAAGATATTCGAATGGTCCATCTAACCAGACATCTCGGTATCTTTGCCATTTATACGCTAGATATATCATCTCATAAAACGGCATTATAATCTCTTTTAATTCGTTGATAAGGGGATATTGGGTGAGTGGAAAATTAAAAAGAGTTTCTTCGTTATTTATCCATTCTGCTTGTTCATCCATACGATCGAGACTTCTTATCAATTTTCGTATATCTTCTATATATTCATTCACGCGTTTAGCATCATCCATATCATTCATGATCGTTAATCTACAAGTGATCATGTTAAAAGTAACTAAATCAAATCATGCTGATGCAGTGGTAAAAAAGAATTTACCTTGGAAATATTTCTTCGACTTGCGTGTTCAAGGTCATCACTTTACTTTGCAAATTTTCTTCCAAGTCAGATTTCATTTGCTCGTACATGCTACTACTTTGTTCAAAAATTGGTCTTATTCGTTTTAGCCAATTGACAGTCGTATTGTTTAATTCAGCATGATCTGTGCTCAAATTTGTCATTTCGATTAAGGATGCCATCATGTTTAATGATATTGTGATCCTGTCGTTCATCTCTTCCATTGTTGTACTTGCAGCTTCTATCATGTATTTACCTATGGCGCCAAAAATATATATATAGATAATAATTATTTGGAAAATTTCAAATCCTTTCTTTCGATCTTTTATCTTTCTGATAAAAATAACAAACCTAATTCGAGAAGTTCCTTCGTTGTTCCTGGCACATTCAGTGCCCTATCCCTTAGTGTTTCAAACACCTTACATATATCAAGATTATAATTCTGATGACGTTTCACCAATTCACCAATTATTAATTGACGAACAGATAAAGTGTAAGACATGAGAGTAGCTTTGCCTTCTGTCTGATATAATACGGCTATAAAAAAATACTCGATGTTTGGCTAAAAACATTAATTATAATCTCTTAAACAAATTTTCTTTATTGTATAAACGTAAGTATTGGTATACAGGATGTTCCACGCGAAGTGCTACAAATTTATCTAAACTTCATCTTTATGCAAATAAAAACAATTAAATTTATCCAGTTCTATAAATTTAATGAATTTAATCATTATAATATTTTTTTTATAGAACACAATATAAATTTTTTTATATTTTTTCGATAAGAATAACTTGTAATGTAACATAGTTTTACATGGGACATTCTGTATACATAAGTAGATATTATACCAATCCATTAATTTCGCGAACTAAACAATTGAAATCTTCGACTCTCTCGATGCATTCCTCAAAAGTATGTCCTTCGGCAACATAAGCGATTACTTTTTGTCGAGTTTTAATATCATATGCAACATTGAACTGATCACGCAATTGTTCAATGTAACTGATAATAGGTTGAAATAAATTTTCCAATATCTTTTCGAGTCTTTCGTGTACTTCTTGCAAGTACCAATTTGGTAATGTAATAAAGATCGCTTTGTGAACAGTTTTAATACCGATCCACGATTCCAAAGTTGGTAATTCTTGTGAAATATTTGCCATTTGATCAATGATAGAGTGATAGGACTTATAAATTTCACTGAACATCGGGTAAATGAATAACATGTTGTTCTCGCATTTCAATTCCAACTGTTAGTAGGAAGATCTTAAGAATACTTTCGAAATTGATAATATCTTAATAAAATATCAAGGAACAATTTATTTTACGGTTACATGTACCTTTAATAAAGGTGTTGTAAAACAATCGCTCAATGTTGTAAGCCATTCCTCTATGATTCTCATTATATAAGCCATAATTTGAAGCGACAGTAAATTTGTAGCACATCGAAAGAAATCACTGATCATGGCGAATGGGACGTCATAAATGTAACGTGACTGTGAAAGATTTCTAATGATACTACCGTAATACGAACTAGTTATGAGATTAGTAGCTTTCGTCAAATCTGAGTCCACCAAATCCAACAATCTATTATAATATGATGAGGAAATAATAATATTTTATAATATTAATTCAGCTAATAAGATATGTCGAAACTTTCAATATTTTATATATAAATAAATAAAATTTGTTGTTGAAAATTAATATTATTAATATTAAGGCCATTTGTGAAAAATTTTCCGCTTTGAAATTTATGCAATATTATCAATAAAAAGAAAAAAAAAGTTGCGAATTTTTCAAACGATTATACCATTGTATTGGCTAATAAATAATGTCGAAAATTTTCGATAAAAAATACTGAATTGTTTATTTAGATATAAAATATTAAAAATTCCAACATATTACTTATTAATTAGCTAATTCCATAAATTTAAGATTAACAAAAAAAAAATGATACAATACCTATATAAATCAAAAGTACCGAACGACCTATAACGTCGAAAATCGCATATAGAATTACGGAACACTATATGAGCTTTAGCTACGATGTTTCTCATTAATTTATGGGAAAAATAATATTTTTTAGCAAAATTATAGCGCTGTTTTTGGTAAATAGAAAAAAAATCTGGTGGGTCCAGAAGTTTAAATGGTGCCGAGAGTGTATAATCTAAGATGTTACAAGATTCCTGACATTCTATAGCAATCACGGAATTAATCGACATATTGTGTATGTCTCGATAATATTGATCCTTAGCTTCATTCATATGCATTTCGAAAATTTCTTTATATTTTTCTTGAAGTTTGGGTGCCACCAACATTCTGATACGTTTTTCCCAATCCTTTCAGTAATTTCGATGTAAAGTAACGAATACGTTATTTATTAAATAAAATAAATTTACGTTGGAAGATAGAAAACTTGTGTTGTAAAGAAAACTTCTTTCTACTCACACCTAGGAGACCATACGTTTGTAACTCTTCGGCATATTGCTTCATTTTTTCAAAACAGAAACGTTGTGACAAACCTAAATCGCATTCTTTTATTAAGATAGGACGAAACGCAAGGATATCGTCGTAACAAAAAATCTTTGCTTTTTTGGAGGCTACCTCGATCACATCTTGTACTTTTTTCATAGTGATCTTGGAAAAGAATCGAACTTATTTAGTTTAATTAACATGATGACGATATAATTAATGGTACAAGTTAAATGATTCATGTAATATATTTGTGAGTTCATACATTATTGATAATAATATCATAAATTTGATCAAACCTTATCTAATTTTAACGTAGATAATGGATTTTCTATCATAGTTTCTTCTTTAAATTCTCGAACGTTTGTAACTTTTGATATTCTTGGTGTTATCATTTTGTCATCTATTACTTTGTCAAATTCTGATGCAATGTTAGACATGATCCTTATTAAATTATAGAAATAATAAATATTCACCTTTTTTTATTAATTATAAATTATCGGCATTTTCTCGATGAAGACATATATAACCGCAATATTCAATATTCATCAATATATCTATCCGTTGAAATTTGTTGCAGCTTTTTGACTCTGAATATTGTGCGATGTGCGATTATCGATATTTAGAATACATTGCATACATACATTATTGAATATCTTGTACATACACAAGTCGCTACATTTTATTTTGCGATCAACGCATTTGGTATACGCTAATTTCTAATAAATTTTCCAATTCATTTTCCAATAAATTGTCTAATAAATTTTCACAAAGCATGTATATCGTATATAATATCGTTGTAATATTTAATAAATTTATTACAAACTTTCAATGTGTACGTAGAAACAATTGGAACACAAATAATGACGGAGTTATCAAAATATTTAAAAATTGCTTGTACCACCAATGTGATTTCACAAACTCCGATTTGACGTGTCCACCAATAAAAAAAATTAATTTTTAATTTAATAAAATTCAAAGTATTTTAATACAATCTTCTTTTATATAATTATATTATTAATATCTATAACCATCATCTCCGCCTCCACCGCCACCGCCAGCAGACGGTGCTGGTGCTGGATAAGTTGCTGTTCCTTCGTATCGTACCATTGGCCGATAACCAGCATTATCAGCAACATAATCAATTATTTGTGTTCTACCATCGGGAAGTAGAACGTGATATGTACCAGTTGCTTCTTGGTCTTTTCGCATTTCACGATGACCGAAATCTAAACCAGCAACAGCATCTTGCACTTCGTATGAAAACTCATAGTTTGCTGGATCCTGAAATAGATTACTATTTTAAAGAAAGATAGAAAAAAAGTAAATAAAAAAAATTGAACATATCAATTTAAAAAATTTATGAAATTCCAATGATCGATTTAAATTGCGAGTAATACTTAGATTATGAGATCTAAATGTTTTAGATCTTAGATATTATTAAAAACTGTATGTTTTTGCAAGAAAAGATTTTTGATTAATTATTCGTACAAGATGAAACATTTGAGGAAACATTTGATCCTTGCGATTTTCATATTGAACGGAAACTGACTGCATATTATTTTTCAAAAAGTATAAACTTCCTTATTAAAATCTCAAATTTGATCAAGATCAAATTTGTTATCATCGTATATAAAAGAATACCATCTTTTTTATGTAACAATTAAAAACTATGTAAATTATAATTAATAAATGTATAATTTATCTTACCCCAGCCCATTCGTCTGGATGTCCTGTCCCTCCTCCAGGTGTACCAGGAGGACGAGATACACTAGGAGGAAGATAAGCAGGTCCTTGAGGTTCGCCTCGAATTCCTATCAGCATCGTTGCTAGTAATAATGCCTATGAGATAAGGAACGACTTAAAAAAAACATATGTGCACGATAAAATTCATTAAATTATTGTTTGAAAAAAAAGAAGAAAAAAGAAAAACAAAAATTAACGTAGAATTTAATCAAATATTAAAAAGAAGATGGAATTATATCTCCATTCGTAAAAATATATGCAACAAACCTTTCGAATCATTGGCAGATCGTCCTAATCTTCAAGTGTTCAAAACTGAAATAACTCTGCGTTACAGCATCACCGGGTTTTATACACCACGTTCCCGATTGCATCTTTTAAAAGTAGAAATGGAAGCACGGTTATTGTGGAAGCTTTAATGCGAGCGCATAACCATAATTAGAGTTAATAATAAAACCGCAGATCTCTGACCGCATAGCTGCAATCATTTATTTGGTGTACTCACAGTAGTTCCTGATACTTTGTAATATTTATCGTCTATTGTTCCAAGTTGCTTAAATCGTGCTAATCAAAACTTCTTCGTAATTTACATTGTGACTATTGAATTTCTATATTATATATTTATAAATATAAAAATCGTTCTTATTTTTCATCATCATCTTTCCGTAAACGTAACGTTTTGCATAAGTTCTAGTCCAATGATTTAAAACTGTTCATCATATAATATAATTTTGTTATTTAATTTGTATAACCATTTATAATTATAAATACGTGTATATATTATGAAAAATGTATTAAAGTTATTGGAAAATGTTTAAGTATCGCTTGTAATATTATCTTTCACTGTATTTTCGTTTCTTACGTAATAACGTATGTTAGAGTTAAACAGGGTAATTGATTGATATACGAATACATAGCGAAAAGATCTTATTTTATTAAGAGTTAAAAATATTTATTCATTTTCCTCAGAACGCAGGCGAGCGTTGGCATTCGTGACGCGAATCGAAAGTTGCTGTGCACGTTCGACGATAGCCTTGCGTTTTTTACTGCTAACTGCATGGGCGATTTCGGCGCAAAATTTACGATTTTGCATCATCAGTACTTCCAACTCCTATAAAACATTAGAAGTTTTCATTGGTGAAAATGATTTACGATTTTTATCAATAACGAATAATTTGTATCTTACAATATCATTCTGTAAAATTTACAGAATAATGTTCTCGGTAATCATTATACATAATCACACTCTAAAAATTTGCATTTAATATTTACCTTGACATTATGTACAAGTACTTTGCGGAAACCTGTAGGAAGCATATGACGGGTTTTCTTATTGCTTCCATAACCAATATTAGGCATTAAATATTGACCCTTGAAACGTCTACGAACTCTGTTATCAATACCTTTTGGTTTACGCCAGTTACGCTAAAAGAACATTTACTTAATTAAACTTATGTCTAATCTGTAATCCAGTATTTATATTCTCTAGTAAATCCTTTCGTTTTTTATTTATTTATTTTTAGATAATTATCGGTATGTTAATGTAATTATGACCAAAATGAAATAATCACTTTAAGTAACAATAATAAACTGCTGAAAAAATTGAAACATTTGTACAATTTAATTGTTATTGGTTTGTCAGATATTCTAAATTTCATGAATTCTAAATTATTAACAATGACTTCTTAAATATTATTGTCTATAGTACCTTCAATTTGTCATATCGATCACTTTGATGCCTAATAAACTTTTTCGTCCTTTTTTTGACGATCGTTGGCCTATAAATCGGTCTGATAGACATGTTGATTTCTTTTAAATATTACTGAAACCCAAAAAAAAATGAGATGTAAACCTTCGAAAGCACATTATGCTCACGTGCTGAAATTATTTAAATCATTTTTCGTAATCTATGAATTTATGTTTGTATTGAAACATTATGTATAACATTGTCGAAGATTCACAATTTATTATTACAATACTTTAATTTTTTCATTTTTTTTCTATAATAATTATGAACACGTGCTACATTACATACCGTCCGCTCACACGTCGTAAAAAGAAAAGGTTATGTTTGTTCCCTATTTCTAAATCTTTGGATATAATAGAAGATGAGAAACACTCTGTAAAAAATATAGAATATCTACAGCTACAAAGCTTAACCAATACGGTACAAGATATACCCACCTTAATACATCTTTTGATTGGTCCCTTAGTCTTTCCAGCAGTGCTATCTATCGGCTATTTTTTAAACGACATTACAACATCCAACATTCATATGATCTCCAATCATATGAATTGTTTTAATATAGAAATGCTTATTTCCTGCCACGTGACGAAGTTTGAATGAACCACGTAGCCATTGATTTAGTATTGATTCTACTATAAAATATTTAAAAGTTATATGTAAAAGTAATCGATTCATCTACAAATTGCTATATGTAGAATCTTCTGTTCGTTAACAAAATATGAATAATATTAAATAGTTATGAAAATGTTAAAATATATTTCAACAAATTTTTTTTGTTTTCCAAATATTTCAAAGTAAGATAATGTATAAAGTATCGAATAAACACTTTACTCGCAAACTCGAAATATTTTTTATTAAGAGATTTGAAGAAAAATTTATAAGAAAGAAACAAAATCTATGTTTGATGAGATGCGTTTTTAATGGACACACAAGTTAGTAATTTTATACAGAATTTCTTTGGTCCTAAAATGAGTTCTCTCGCATCATTCATTCTCTTTCACATTTAGAGATTTTTATTAGTAACATGCAATGGTAGAGATTTAATGATCCTTTTTAATCGTATAATAATAACAGATATGGATATTAATGTCTATAAATTCTATTTACAATATTTTAATAAAATTTTATAACTAATGATATATTGGAAATACTATAAGAAAAATTGCGTAAGTGGAAATAAAGGATAATATTTACAAATACAATTTACGTTAACAAATGCTAAAAACTACCAGGTAACATGGAAAATACAAGTACAGATACACAAATACAAATATAAAACTACTTTCAAAATTAGAAATGGTGACAGGAACATTGAACTCCAGAATATTTCGGTTAAAAAACTAAACAGATCCTGGCTTATTTGTAATTATTCAATGAGCGATAGTGACAAAAAATATTTTTTTTTATACTGACAGGATGTCAGTAGATAAAAAAAAAAAAAAAAAAAAAAAAAAAAAAAAAAAAAAAAAAAAAAAAAAAAAAAAAAGAAGAAATTAAACTTACATTAATTCACAAATTGATTATAGAAAAACTATTCAATTTAACTTCACACTTATACAAATAATAATAATTGTAAAAATGAGAGCTGCGTATGTATATTGAAACAATCTACATCGAACTTATACCGACAAATTAGGCTTAACTCTGAGAATATTTTTTTCTTTCTTTCTTTTTTTTATTTTTTTTTTTTTTTTAATCATTTCTATAAATGTAACACATCAACGCGTTTTATGGAAATGTTAAAATTTGTACATTTATACAATCTAATCATGTTTAGTGTATAAAATTTCATGCTGACTTGAGTTTTCTGCTCAAGAAGAATGTACTGTATGATCAAACGAAGTACAGAATCGCGTACAAATGAAAACATTAATGCCTTTATCACGATATGTCAATAAACGATATTTTCTTACCCTTTCATGATATTTCGATAATTTATGATCAACAATGAGGATGACTGATTTTACAATGCACGTGATAATGATGGTATAATGATGATGATAATAGTAAAAATAAATATGTATATAAGAAATACAGTATGATCAGATAAACAGTGGTCAGTCGAGAGGTAAGTGAACGCGAGAATCGGCGGCTGCTAATTTGATGAGTGTCTTTTTTACTCGAAGAATAGGTAAGCGCGCAGCAGGCTTATGATGCCAACATTCTCTCATTAGTTTTCCCATTCCTGATAACGTCTAGAAAATATTTTCTATTATATTTAGAGAGAAATATTAAATAAGAGAAATTTTATAGAATAAAAATAATTGTACTTACTGCATCATAATGCCATCTATTAGGCAACGGTGGTCTACGTTGATCAAGACAAACTAATTTATGCATTTCTTCTATACTGGGCTCTTGATTACTGTACGAGAGCCATTCGGAGTAAGGAGCAGCATATTCTAAAGCAACACCATTAGTTATACATCTCCGACAGACTTCCCACAGTATAAGGCCCAAACTATAGATATCTGCACATCTGAAGCTTTCTAAGCATTCTACGTTTAATCTGCAATCGAATAAAGTTAATATTTTTAATCTTATACAAACATTTGGACTATATTTTTTAAATAATAATTTACGTTTGTTCCAAAACTTCAGGACTCATGTAACGTTTGGCGCCTTGTTTTAAATCCACTCTATCTGTTGTAAGTCGATCTTGAGTTACAGCTAATGCAAAATCCGCAATAACACAGCCACCATTCGTTTTAACAAGGATATTTTTAGATTTAAGATTACGATGAGACATGGCTGGTTTTCCTCTAGTTCCATGAATTTCCGTGTGTAAATAAAGTAAACCATTTGCTATGCTCAACGTTATATTAAGGGTTTGATGATGTGTTAATGGATGTGGTGAATGATTTAAATGATCGTAAAGCGAACCAAGTGGATGATAATGTGTTACTAGCCACAATTGAGTACAGCTAGCTCTACTGGTCATATCGCTTCCAACATATCCTAAAATATTATCATGTCTCGAGGGCAATAATTGAGAATAGACCTCCGTTTCTCGAGCCCATGCAGCCTCATCTCGTGAAAAATAAATTTTCACAGCCACATTTTCACCATGCCAAATACCTCTCCACACTTCACCACCAAACCCTCCATTACCACCACTACCAAGACATTCGACTAATGCTACTTGCTTAGCCAATGTGCGTTGTACTAATAAAGGTAATCCTGAACCAGAACCACTGGTAAGACTTCGTCCATCTAGGTATTCCTATATGAGTAAAAATGTTATCCTTAATGAAATTATACATAACAAAGAAATACAATATCGTATATTGAACTATATGATGCATACTTTCAGAGTACTATCACCAGCTGCGGTTGCTTGCAATTCGTGTGCATGATACGTTGTACTAGATACAGGTGAAGGAGAAGAAAAATGTAACATGGACGGCTCAAGTTCCGAGTCTATAATTAATCTTTTGTGTCTCGAAGCTAAAGGACGTTTTCTACGAGTCTTACGAGTTATTAAGCAGAAAAGAACACCTCCAGCAATAATGCCTAATCCTAGCATAGGCCCCAATATAGCCAATGTTAATTTTATTACATAGTCTGATTCTGATTCTCCATCTACAGTTCAACACATAATAAATGTAAATTCTGCAATTGGCTTTATTAACGATGATAAGATATCTTACCATCTATATAATCTTGTAATATGGGAAAAGAACCATTGTTACAAAGGTCACCTTGACAGCACTCAACATAAATATGTGCACGACCTGGTGATCTACTAACATGCCTTTTAATACCATTATCATTTTTTCCTTCTTTAGAAGATTGTTGTTTGTTGCAATAAAATTGCATTTGATCGACATCTGCCACGCATCCTCTACTAATACTTTCCTTGCCATCTGTTTCTCTTATTCTAGATTTCATACACTATTAAACAGAAATATATAATACTCATAAAAATACTCATCTCTCTTTTGTATACATACACACATATATATATATATATATATATATATATATATATGTATTATATATATATATATATATATATATATATATATATATATTAATGTAATAAAAAAGATATATTACAGTGATAGCATCAAAGCAGACTTTTATCTGAGCACAGTCTGGTTCATCGCAAGTAAGACAACTAAAACGACGTTGATTGACAGGATTATTTCCAAATGTAAGTCCTACAGGTTCATGAGATTCAGGTGCTTCTCTACTATCAAGAAATGGATCGTCATCTAACAACGCTGTTTTTTGTCTGTCTCCTATATAAATTAATAATATTTATTAGTTAGATTATATATAATCAAACTTTCATAGCTATACTTTTGCTATAGAAATTTTGCTTTACGAAACAAAATTCTATTAAAAGCAAAATTCAATAGTAAAACCTTATAAACAAAACGATATAGTTTATTTTAACTGTTGTATTAAAATATGTGAAGTAAAACAAGTATGTTAAAAAATTAAAATATACGTATATTTTAGAAATTGCTGAAAATGATAAAAAATAACCTCATACCTGAACATAATTTGAATGTCAACAAGAGTATAAAGTGCATGATAAATATAGTATCCGCCATTTCTGTATGCGTCAAAACAGTGGACCACTCTAATCAGGTCACCACTAGCCTTAAACGTTTAGGTTACATCTTTTTTGTCTCATATGACGAACCATCGCGCTTCTTGATATAAACCTTTTAAGTTCTAATAAAAAAATACTACATTTCACTTTCAAATTTATACTTTTTGTATAATACTTCATGCGTGTTCACCAAAGAAGCCAAATTCATGTAGGCAATGTAGGAAAGTAAAAGATTCCATTTATGCCCAATAGACATTGTAGGAGCGCTTTTGTTGCCGACATTAGCGCCCTCGGACGATAATATTTCTAATTGCGTGTAAATAAAGTGCTATGCATTCTAGGAATTGTAATGAGGACTTAAAAGCGCGAATTGCTATGTTCAATGTTATATTAAGAGTTTATTTTATATAGGACGAATTGATTCATCGAAATTTTCAAATCTATCAATAATTAGAAAGTTATTAAAGAGCATACACGATCTTCGAATATATTATCAATTTGATTTTTTTATTGTACAAATTTCTATTCATTCCTATACATATGAAAAGTAAATGATCTCATTTTAATGTTGATGTTTTTAAATTTATGATAAAATAAAACAGCATGACTTTCGTTGATAAAAATGATCACAAAGAATTCGAAATTCTATAGCTATCGTTTCGAAAAAAAGAACAAGAATATACATGATTTATAGAACATTCGATTCGAAAGAAGGAAGAAAAAAGAAAGGAAATAAAAAAAGACTGAAATCTAGAGGTCGATTCGTTCATTTTCGAATATTGTTACAGAGATATATATCATCAAAGATCGTCTTTGATGTTAGAACGTGACGATATATTTCATTCGGCGCGAATGCAGCAACTACATGGCGCAGGCGTCTTGACGAAAGCTGGACGCAAGTCCGCAGGATCATTCCGCGCCGCGAACACCGAGCGGCACCACCACCACTCGAGGTTGTCGCCGCGGCGAGAGATCCATGTGCGTTCGACGTCGTCCCGCGAGACGACGACGCCGTAGTAAAGAAAAATTAGAGACGTGTACTTACTTACAAGTGAGCGAGTGAGCAAATCCCTGTCATAATATTTTCTTCTTTCTTACATATTTCGGAAAACGACTTGCGTTTATCTCTTTTCCTTTTTTTTTTTAAATTTACAAACGTCGCAGTTATAAAAAGATATAAAAATAAAGAAAAAAATTAAAAGGTGTCGAAGTGTGTCGCGGAACATTATCATCAAGTTTTGATGAAAAACAAATAAACAATAATTTAATATTTACAAGGAAAGAGTTAGACAAGGATGTCGTATGAATCAAGCGCGAACTGTAAAACGCGTGACTCCAACGGAGCCAATCACGCGCGAGAACGAGACGAAGAAAATCGGCAATTCGTATCTACGTCGCACTTTGTATCAACAACGGCGAGCTTTCTTCAAGTTTTTTCATAAAGGAATAAAACTTACGATCGTCATTTATCAACGGACGTCGAGTAACACATCGGTGCAAGATTTCTTTCCGGTACTTCGATCGACCAATCATCGAAGAGATTGTGGATCGGATCGGTCGCCAATTGGTCGGTTCTCCTAGCCGGATAAACTACGCCATTTTTATTGCTTTTACATAATTCGTTCGAGCGTAATATTTATACCGCGCTTTTTTTTCATGGAAGAAAAAGAAAAGAAATAAAGCAAATCTCGAAATATCATCAAATGTGTTTCGAAATCTTTCCGCGGCTCTTTCGTTTCTTTTTTTAACGACGATAGCAAAGGAAAGGACGTCTTCTTTCATCGGTGCTTTTACAATTTTTATTGTCGATCATTCGCGAGAGAAGGGTGATAAAATTCGAAGCAGAAGTGTTATCGGAACGGTTTAATGGTGATATTTGCGCGAACGAAAGAAGGATAAGAGTGCGAATAAACGGCGATACGAGTGAGTGAGAAAAAAGATCGTGAAGTTTTTATTAAATCGGTAAAGAATTTTTCGGTGTACTGTGCTCCTCGGAAGGCCAATTCGTGCCGAACAAAAATTGGTGCCAATTTATACTGGGACAACGTTAAGGTGTTATCGACGGTGATTCGGGTAATGAGAAAGTGTGGAAGATGGTGTGTCGTTGGCTCACCGTTCCGTTGCTCTCTGGTTTTTTGATCTTCATTGAAGTTATTACGGTTGGTCAAGGTAAGTCGAGTTATTTTATGGAAGAAAAAAAAAATACTTTTATGTATATTATTAATTTCATAAGCATTATAATTATATCTGAAGATCCTATAGGATTATGAATCAATTGTTAATTAATAATTGTCATATTTTTTACCTATTACTTTCGTAAAATATAGTAATTTTTTTTTATAAATAAAAACGTGGGATAGAAAAATTCTGTTAAAAAAAAGAGAGAAAGAAAAAATTTACAGTCAATTATTAACCATTAAATATAATGATCAACATAATAGAATATTTTTTAACAAATCTTCGTCATTATACAGGCTGGCTCATAAGTCAGTTGTCAAAAATGCATTATCATTGATAAATAGATTTAATTTATGAACATTAAACTACACAGATAACATTTAATAGATCTCATTTTTTGCGTTGAATATGAAGGACGGTACTTTCAGCATCCAATATAATTATCTTACGGTTAGTAATATGTTATTGTCATTTATTTTTTTGTTATTTTATCAAATGTTATCTGTATGATTTAATGTTTCTAAATTAAACATGTTTACAATGATAATGCATTTTTTGTCAATTGATTTATAAGTTATCCTTGTATGTACAAATTGGTACATCGTGTTATCAAATAAACTGACTGCACCGAAAACTTATATTGACGTTGCGAAGCGCGTGTTAGAACGTAGAAAAGGCGTACTCGATGTTCTTTGGCGAAAAAGCAAGCTGAAAGTAGAATGTGTGGGAGTTTAAAGATAGTAAGGGAAACAAGCACGTTCGGGTTCTTTTTACTCATGCTGGAGCTTCGATCTTCCCATAGCAATATTGCATTCCGTCGTGGATTGTATTCGTTTCGCGTAATCGTGAGTTTGAAAAGAATAGAAATAGATTCTATTAAACTTCCGTATAAAACGTTTAGGGATGATATCGAATTATATAGAATATCAATAATTCCTAAATATTATTCCCAAATGATTATCTTGAATCGCTTTGTTTTGCACTGATGATATTACAAGAAAACTTACATAATATTATAACGTAATATATTCGTATGCATAATTTATATTGTAATATAGTCGCGTACATAATACGTTAGGTTCTATTTAATCACAAATAAAATGCAGATACAAATTAGAACATTATATGAGCCGTTCATTCGTTAAATCGATTAATAACACGAAATGAAAAGTAAAAAAAATTGATTAAGTTAATATATTTTTATATTAACTTATATATTATATTAACTTATATTTTTATATTAACTTATATTTAGTACATTATTTATTATTTAACGCCCGTGCACATTTTTTTGTCATTTAGTAAAGTTTAGCCTAATTATAACAGAAATTTATTTTGCATATAAACAGTTAAGCATCGCGCTAAAGTTAAACAAAAGTTCTAGAAGTGGAATTAATCGCTTTGGTCTGTGTACGGCTTATATTAAATCTGTCTCTTTGATATTTTAACGTTGCAAAAAGTCATACTTTACTTTGTGCATTCTTTTTTCTGTTTTTTCTTTTTTTTTTTTTCTTTCTTTTCTTTTTTTTTTTTCAAATAAGATTCCATCGTAGCTCTGTGTTCATGTGTTGGTCAAATTCAAGAGGACTCACTTGAAGCATCTAACGAGTGCCGATTGATTTTCAACGAGTCAGTTTCGAATTAGAAGCTTCGATAGAGAAGCATTGTTTTCGTGAAGAAGATCAATATCACTGTGAGCTTTAGTCTCTCTCTCTCTCTCTCTCTCTCTCTCTTTCTCTTTATTTCTCTTACAAAAACGAACGATATGCGTGTCGATTCCCGTGCAACGAGAAAAAGTGGATGACATATTCGATGGTTGTGTGTGTTCAAATGTTGGCTCGGCGAAAAGCTAATAATAAAATTTGATCTAATCAATATATCAAATGGCCCATTACCGTTCGTTACGTGTCTACAATTTCGAATGATAATTATATGAATATCCTGATCAAAATACGCGCTTAATTAATGAATCTAATAAATTCGAGTTAATCGCGGTTATTACCATCGATCGAAAGTATTCTTAAATCGGCATAATGGATGAATGACATTTCGTGTGTATTAATTGGCCTCATTTATCGAAAACACGGTACTTGTATTAAATACGATTATAATATATTTGTCTATTAATTATAACTTTTCATTTGTGATTTACCCCGTGGTCTTAACAACCAATAAATAATTATAATAATAATGTGATAATACAACAATATAATTATACAACGATATAATTTATATAAATTTATATAAAAGAAAGAAAAAATACTAAACACAGAAAAAATACAAGTGTACATATATACATACATACATAATATATATATATATATATACATAATATACATAATATATGTTTATATAATACATGTATATTATATATATATATATAATACATGTACATTATATATATAATACATGCATATTATATATATAATACATAATATACATAATATATGTATATATAATACATGTATATTATATATATATAATACATGTACATTATATATATAATACATGTATATTATATATATATAATACATGTACATTATATATATAATACATGTATATTATATATATATAATACATGTACATTATATATATAATACATGCATATTATATATATAATACATGTATATTATATATATATAATACATGTACATTATATATATAATACATGTACATTATATATATAATACATGTACATTATATATATAATACATGTACATTATATATATATATATATATATATATATATATAATACATGTATATTATATATATTATATATATATATATAATACATGTATATTATATATATTATATATATATAATACATGTATATTATATATATATTATATATATATAATACATGTATATTATATATATTATATATATATAATACATGTATATTATATATATATTATATATATATAATACATGTATATTATTGTTTGTAGTTTAGTTCATTAAAAAAATTGTTTCTTATCGATTTTTAAAATTTGAATAAATCATTACACAATATACAAGAAGAGCAAGTGTTTTGGGGGTTTCGTAAAGTCTATCCGCTGAGGAAAGTGTACTTTGCGGCAAGTAAGGAACATAAGGAAGAACTTTCTATAAACACGACGTTATAGGATATAGCCTTTTCGTTTGCTATCTGCTAACAAGGAAAATCCGTAAAATCATCTTATCATCGGGTGAAGCGAGGTGAAAGCTACGGTGAGTTGTATAAACCCGATGAACTATAGGTAATTGAAGTTTGGCTGATGATTATGCGTTCTGTGTTTCGATGTGAGCTCACATTTGTTGGTCTTACACCGTTGATCTTACTGTCGACCGACTCTATGTTAATTATCTTAGTTAGATAAACTCAATTGACCGTGATTATGTACAAAGGGGAAAATCGATTGCGGCGTACATTTGCTGGAGAGATAAGCGTGTCTGTTCTCTCTAATATACATATATATATATATATATATATATATATATATATATATATATCTACCTATGCGTTGTTATTTTTACAAACATTAATGACACTTTTATTATGATTTGCTTAAAAAAAATTGGTTTGTTTTATCGATTAATACGTGTAATAATAAATTCGTTTGATTTGTAATCGTTATAGTCCGCATATAAATTAAATTGATCTCCATCATCTTTCATTTAATTTTTTAACAATAATATTTTTGATTATTATATATACCAAATGAATTTATTATGCAACGTAATATAACGTATACGTAAGTACTTATTTAGTTTCCGTTGTTCTTTTTGGAATATATCCAAATGTAGGAGAGAGACATTGCATACAGAACATTGAAGTCTCTCGAAATGTGCGAGTATTAAGAACTAGTTAACTATCTATTGCGCACGAACGAATTTTTCTATTTTGCTTCATTGAACGCATTTGAACCAAAGTGAGCCTTTGTAAATTTTTTGCAAAAACTTGCTCCTTTTTTTCTCTCTCTCTCTCTCTCTCTCTTTCTCTTTCTCTCTCTTTTTCTTCATCTCTTCCCACTTTCTACTTTTACATTTATTGGTCCATCTCCATCGATTATCTTTACCATCCTTCCACATTTCACGCTCATCATGGAAAATTCGCAAATCCCTGAGCTTGTAGAAGACAACAGTATATAGAGTCAGGTACTTATTCACGTAATTTTCGAACTTCCAATGATCAACCGAGGGACACTATTAAAGCGAAGCTATGCACGAACAAATGTAATTACCTCGTGCGTATACCAAATACCTACGTCGTTATGCTCCCTCACGCGTTTATCGCTCGTTTATACTCGTTATACCCTTATCATGATTTTCGATTAGATAGTCCGATTAGACTAACCCTGAAAGTCGATGAATAAAGCTCGATCTTATATAACTTATTTATATCTTCTATAATATATGTATAAAAAAAGAAAAGCAGAAGAAACAATGACAGATCGTTTTATATTGTTTATTAATGATAAACAATTTATATTTATGATATACAAAAATATATATACTAAAATCTTTAATATAAACGAATTGAAAATTGAAATGATACTACGTATTTATGATAAACAAATAATCAAAAGAAATGTACTTACATGGTGAGACCTATATGATATATGATACGACATGAAGTAACACCGAAAAGAAGAAGAAGAAAGAGAAAAAGAGAGAAAGGGAGAAAGAGATAGAAAAAGATGCTCAAAGCGTAAAGCATAGAATCTCGTTTTCTAGGATAAATTCCCAGGCGTCTCGTATATAACACGGCGAGTGCGATAAATAAAGAAACGTCATAATCTCAACCAACGTTTGAGACTTACCTATGTATGTACATACATATGTATGTAGGAATCTCGTGCGAATAGACATTTGGTCGCGGTATGTTAGTAATAGTAGGGAAGAGGAGAAGAGAAAGGGTAACTTGTCCAGGAAGCTGATATAAAGTCCCAAGAGAACGGCCTCTGCCTAGCCTCGACATTGAAATATACCGACGGTCCTAGGTCAGTCC